GTTTGGTTCCGCCGCGTAATTCAATTTTCTACTTGATGCCTTTAGCTGTACGTGTAAGGAATACTGCGCACCGTGTCCGAAAATTAATGATGAGTTCACATCAAAACAAACATTTGTTCCAATAATTTTGAGTTTATTTACGCTTTGTAATAGAACATGTATAATGTTTGGTTTATAGTCGTATATCTTTGTCTAAACATTATATATTTATGGTTTATGTTAATGCAATGTATGACAATGCATTGAGCAGTTTGAAAAATAAATTTTTGGTGGTTGTCCACGACTTTCTTAATAAACTTTCATAAACATGTTCCAAAAAATAGACTTAACACAGCTGTCTTTATGCGACTAAGCTGTTCTCTTTGTCGACCTGTTGACCCGATAATAGTAAAAAAAAGTTAACCCCTTAGGGGTTAAATTAGGACACTAGGAATTTAAGACATCCGGACCCATCCTAGTGCCTGCCTGCAACGGCGCGGGCACCACCTTCGGGTACCTTCTCTATTTAATATACGGATGTCTTAATAACAGCAGTTTCCGGGTCTTTGCTATAATAGGCGCAGAGTGGCACACCGTGTGGTTTTAATCGGTCTGATTCCGACACAGGGGTTTCCACACGTAAAAAGAAAGGGCACTAGGAATTTGCGGTATTTATTAACAGTCTGTTATTTTTTGTTTCGACTGGCATGGACTTATTATGTTATACCCACATAAAGCCAAATATCTATCAAATTAAATAATATTAAACAAGTTTATGCTACACGAATGTACAATATACATACCTACATGTGTACGTTCGTAAGTTAAAAAGGTTTTCTCAAATAAATGTATAATCCCATGACTCGAGATAACCATGACTCATGACTAATACGATTTTTCTATTTTTCGGAAGATAAATTTTCACGTAAACATCGCTTTTGACACGGCCATTATACGTCGTGCCAAATTATTTTATTTTCATTTCGATATTGTGTTTACGTAACGGCATCACCGGTGATAATTTAGTTTATTGAAAGTTATGTTACTTGTATTGGAATAATCTTTTTGAGTTTGTGATTGTTCATTTTATTGAGAGGACGGAAGAAGATTGCGGTAAGGCTTATTTAAATATAGCTGTATTAAACTTTTACTTGAGAAATATTTCTATCAATATTCTAGATATGAAATTTTCAATGACAACCTTGCATTTAATAACTAAGCATATATCATACGGCACAAGCCTCCCATACGGTTAATAGGATGTACATAATAACCATTAAAAAGGTAGCCGTACTAAGCTCTTTCTTTATGTTTGCCTAGCGTACAACTCAAAAATATTTTATAGAAGTTTAAATTCATGTCTCAGTCAAATTACGGTTATCATTTAATCTAATTGTTTTTTTTTAATAAAGTAGACTTAAAATATTATGCAATATCCAATGTGTTCTGTATTTTAATTGATAAAATTGTCTAGTAGTGCAAATTGAGATTGTAGTTGCATTATTTTGTTTTATTGAAATCGGAGTATCCTTCTAACTGTTTTCTTAAATTAGATGTTGTGTTCCTACCGACAAAAATAATAATTTAAATTTTAGTTTTTTTACATATACATATACATGTTACTTTGAATTAGACAATCACAAAAAAATATTTATGGTTTTTTCTCACTTTCACGCGTGGCATGTAAATAATTTCACAGCTGCGCCATGTTAGACAGGAAACAACACCACTATGTTTGGAAGATGACTAAGATAATATTGACATTGATAGAAATTGTTGCTAACGTACTAACAAGCCTTTCACGTACAGTGAGCAACGAAAAATATGCTTAGTAATTGATGGTGTAAGTACTATTTCTATTGGACATAAGCCTTCGTGATTCTCAAGGATTTAAATCTAGGAACAGTTTCCCGATTATTCTACTCTACTTGATACTATTTTGAGTGTAATTTTTAAATTTAATGTGTAGTTAAAATATACAACTAGAAAACACAGTACATTAAAAAAAAACAATATAATTAATCCTTAGACACAGGCCCTTTCAGCATAACACGTCGAATGAAGGATACATATGCGTTTTATAAATATTTACAGCTTAATAATCATTGATGCTAGTCAACTACACTTTTAAGTATCAAATTATTGGATATAAGTGTTTAGTAAAATGTAAACGACACGCATAACATTGATTAGGTTACGACTTACTTAATAAACTCATAATAATCATTTAACCAACCACGGAAGGTCGGTGGAAACACTGGGAACATTAAGTTAAATATAAGATACGTTAAGTACAGTACTAATGAATAACCATAAAACAAAAAAAATTGCAACTACAATGATAACGTTGTAATCTCAATCAATCTTCCAATGCATTTTGATTACAATAGATAACAATCGGATGGACCGTACCTACTTAGTGGGATAAAACTTTTCTTGTTATTTGTTACGATGCCTGGAGATCGATGTTATATCCACGTTGAGGTTTAATTATTTTTCAAAGTATCATTAAGTGTAAGCCGAATTGGAACTTATTAATTATATTTTGGAATATAACATTATATTATTGATGGTGTTTGAAAATATAAAGTGGGCTTTGAATTTATAAAGTTGACGATACGGTATTGTGTGATAAATGATCACTACAAGAGGCTTCAGAACCTGAGTGTCTTTGCTTTTCATCTTAGTAGAATGTGCAATACTTTATAGCATTTTCAAGGGCACTATTTCTCATCCTTATGGAGTGAAGACAGAGGACTAAGTCTACTTTTGCCTTCATATAAAGAAACTATGTTGCTATAGTAACGTAAATATATTTTATGGAATGTTACTACTACTTTTCTTGTACGCCATTTAATGTAACTTTGTATTTATAAGTTAGACATAGTATCGTTTAATGAAAGTACACTCGTAAGTACTTCAGGCTATGATATGATAATGACCCAATATAATTAACCTAACTCTGTCAACATCTGTTTGTTAACTCTATTATGTATTATGTAAATAGGTATAACTATTTTTCGCTTAACTCAACTGTACGCAATCTTTAATCTATGTGATAATTTATAGTCCGTTTAGTTGTATACATTAATTTAGTTACTTAACAATCTTTCGTCATTGGCGATGTTAATCTTTAAATATCGTCAGTGATGAAAGATTTTTTACCAGTTTAGGAAATCAAAAACAAAGAACCTATTAAGTTAAACTAGGTGAAGCTGGGAAAAGCAATCTTTTAATGTTCTACAATGTACATTAAGTATTCACGTTTTTATTAAGGTTAAAAAAATGGCTGTTAAGTAATTTTAATCAATTAACTAATATTTTTGGTCCTCACTATTTATCAAACCGTCAAAAATTAAATAAATATAAAAAGTGTAGAAATATCAAGATTAACGGGTTTGTTTTCTCTACGAGTGGAGAAGAGTATGATACTCCAAAAATAGCAGAGATTTCACTTCATACTACGTGCCAAATGTTACATTTACGTGCGCTTTGAATAGATGTACAGACATAAATTTATCCATACGAAAGTTCACAGTGAGTTGAATTTACACGTGGCATTAATTAATTACATTTAAATGATTCTCCTAAAACTTTATTTTATCATTCTTAATTATTTATTTAATTAACAAAGTGTTGTGGCTTAAAATAAGTAATAAAAAAAATGAACAAAGGGTAATAAATTCTGTTACATTTGAATACAGATATTTTTAGCTTTCTCATAAACAAATTTACATAACAGCGATTCTTTTAACTTTAATAAATAACGTGTTACAACACTTTAAGTAAGTCAATTTTATTTGAGACAAAGATTTAACCGATTTTGATAAAAAGAAAAAAATCGGTAAAGACTATTGAATTAGTAAGAGATTCGTCATTAGTCTTAGATTTATTCGTCATTAGAATTACTAAATAATTTTAAATAAAAGGCTATTGTGCTGATTTCGAAATAGTTGATATATATTTTTACATATTCATACTAATTTGGCTTTAAGAATGGCCACTTAATTGCGTATAAATTAATGTATACTTTTTTAACTACCTTAATCTTTGCTAACAGCGAGTTTTCGTGTAAATTTAAAGTTTATTTTTGCAAATTTTGAATTGGAGAGACTAAAGTGAAATTTTAATATCTTGATTAAGTCGATAAAGGGCTTAGGTTGTTATTCACCCTATAAAATTCTCACCAACGGGTGAGTTTCTCCTCTTTTAGATCGCCAGTGGGCCTAATTAAGAAATCAAATCAACGTCTATTTTTATTGAATTGAATAAGTATATGATTACTGGACTTTCAACAGTTGTATTGCACAGGAATAATGAAATCCTTTTATTGTTTTGTATGCCTATTGGCGAAACATGGCGATCTTTTTAGATATGGTTTGTAACATCTGAATTTACCTGTGTTTTACGAAATAATTGATTGATTGAGATTCCGACACACCACTCCGCCGCAAACCTCGGTGATGTTTCCACACGTAAAAAAGAGCTGGGTGAGTTTACTACTTAAAAATTTTAAGGTGGTCAATACTTTCTCGATTATTGTACCTATATATTACCAGTTCATCTATTTGATGTATAAGACAAATAAAATCATTATTAAAAAGTGAAATTTAAAGTATTTTTACGCCTTATTTATCCTTAGGTTTGTATATATACGAAAGTTTGTTCATTTCCAACACACCTTAATAATTTAATCAATCGTCATTACATTTTGGTTCTTGTTATTCAATAAAAATACTGTTCTCCAGAAATAATTGATAATGTGAAATAAGAAAGTTAGTATTTTATATTTTGATTTCTTAAATAGTATTTCTGATTATTTGAAAAGGATTTATATAGTGCAATGTGTACACAGTGCGCAATAATAATTAATCTTTTCCCGTTGAGGTACGCTAAGAGTATTATCGTGTCACTTATACTAAGTTTTAAATATTTACATCTTACACCACCACGTCTTATATCATAATAGGTGTACCAATTTATATTGCAAACCATCACCCATAACATTTGTTTTTACTAACCATCCACCCTGTCTGGTGAGTGTGAATCCAAATCGTGCTTCTCTGTCGACGGAGACCCTGATGCCGATGATGCCGAGCCCCTGGGGCGAGACCACCTGACCCCGCATCACGGACACGCGGCTGCACAGACCAGCTCATCAGTTGAGGCCGTGAGACACAGCACACGGCATTGAGCGATACGAATCCCACAAACTGGCATTTTACTGAATAATTGTAGTTTTCTGATACTTTTATATGTAGGTATATACCTATCTAAACTTTATTTTGATTTAAAATTTGAAAACTCCTATCGCTTCTAAGATGTTTCTGGCTCACTGTATTTAATTATTATATCAAAGAATATTATGTGAATTTTCATTAATCCTATAGTTCTTCTATTATTTCATTTACGTTGTTTAACAAAATTTAAAACCTGAGTATTCAAATTATCGCACGGATGTGTTAATACATTTAAAAGAAATGCCGTGTGAAACGTATCGCTCATGCACACCTTCGATCATAAAACTTTGAGCGAGGTCTCGTGCTATGCTCCATATTTCAAAGTGTAAACGCTGTGAGAGTGAAGTCAAGTATGAAAATAATATCGAAAAACAAAATAAATAAGAAGTATCAGCATTGCACATTCTCGTATTAGGATCAGCTAATAAACATCTATGGTAGATTTCAGTTTACATTCCAAATGATAAACATCACCGTAATACCAGAGATAATGTATATCTCTTATTTATTATAAGTAAATATCACTTGTAGCAAAAAAAAAAAAGAATAATGTACCGTAAACAGAAATCTACCTAGAAAGGTATGTATGCATGTAACAGCTGCCACACAAACCATAGTCAATCAATTTTGTTATATTACTCCATGTTCGGTTATACATCATGAAGATTGAAATTGGTGCACGAAAACTTTACGATATATATTATATTGTGTTCAAAAGTTACAAAAGGGATTTTTCTCAGAAATCTTCCATCATTATTCGTCTAGAATATATTTTAAACAATGCTATCCATCAATCTGTAAGTGGAAATATATGTCATTAATCATTTTTCCCGGGAAAACTGCTAATTAGTCGAGCTATAAACTATCCTATATCCGTCTCGGTAAAAGGTACTCGTACTTGTCTATGTCGTCAGGCATTCCTTTAAATTTCTGTTTATATTAGGTCGTTGCCTATTAGGTTGGAGATATGTATGAAAACTTTAAAATATAAAAATGTTGATTATATTTTATTTAGGAGAGGCCTATGTCCAGCAGTGGACTAGTATAGGCTGTTGATGATGATGATGATGATATTTTATTTTAACTAATCTAAGTACTAGCCCAAGTTATCTATGCAATTTTGCCATTTTGATGGCAGTTTGTTTATCTTTTACTGTAGATGTCTGCTGGATGGAAGGCGATGAAGTTAGCGAAAGTGTTTTGTCTCTCGGGTGTTGAATTATTTTCTACTTAAAAATAGCCTAAATTTTGAAAACAGTAGAAATATGCTTTGGCAAGGTCTGGTGAGCACGGTGGGTGTCGAAGAGCTTCCAGCTGTAACTTTGTGGCTTTGCGATGTTCTGTCGTGAATTATAAGCTCGCGCGCTGTCATAGAGAAGCAACGGGGAAGAACGATTGACCAGTCGTGGTTGCTGAATCGCAACAATAGACATCTGCCGCCACTGTTGTGCCATCACCATCATTTTCCTATGGATAATCCTTTTTAGCACACTGATTAGGCGTTATATCCAGGTCTACTACTGAGATGAACACTTGCGGTGGTCGTACAGGATCCCATTTTAATCACAGGTAATAATTCGATTCAGAATGCCCTCGTTTCTATGCCGATTGAGTAGTGCTATGTATGCTTCGACGCTAAAGTTTCGCTGGTAGTCGCTTAGCTCGTGTGGCACTCATTTATCTAGTTTTTTTAGCTTTCCAATTTCAATTAGGTGCCTTACTGTTATTTTGAGTGCAGCAGTGTTAGGCCCGTACACGTCGTTAATGTTTCGTATTTCCAAGAACTCATTTTCGAAAATTGTACGAATTTATCCATGGCGTCAAAAACTACCACAATTTCACAAATTCAAAACACTATTTAGAAGAAATGACTGAATTTAAATAACATGGCTTTCGAATCAAATTTATTTGATTTATAAATTGGAGGCCAATCCACGGATAAATTAATCTGAAAATGGTGGTTTTTAAAATCTCCAACCTCATAGGTACCTAAATACCTAATATTATTACATACATACCTAATATTATACTAAATACATAATATTATTACATATTAGGTATATATGTTAAAGCACATAAATATTTTAAATTCTTTACGCAAACTCCTTTGCCAATTTAACTAATATGTCGCAAAATATATAATAAAAAACACCACAAATGTCATTATTTAATTCACCTGTTATTAAATCTGTAAAGAGGACACATTTCATTACTTATGTATATTAAATAGTCTTTTTCTGTTTTTTGCAAAAGAATTACAGTGGAATTATTTGCTTATAAGGATTTCAGAATTGTACTACTCTTCTTATATCAAAATGCGGAAGATTCACTTTCAAAATGCTGTATAAAGTTAGTAAGAGGATAGACACTTCTGAAAGCCATTTAATAAATACAGATCGTTCGTTGCACCAATTTCAAAGTGTAATAAAATGTCGTAAATAACTGATAAATGGAAGCGATGGTAGTAATGTACAATGTCGACAACTCTGCTATCATCTCGCTGTGAAGTAGTAGGAATACATTCAAATAACTTGTGTTTTGGTTAGTTACAAAGGGTGAGGATCTAAACACATAAAGAGCTCGGGCGAAGGGTAGGGGTTGGTTAACAGATGAAAGACGCAGACAAAGGGTAAGGAACACATAAAAGGGTTAGTTTATTTGAAGCTAAATTTGCGTGTTCGCTGAAATTTTGCTCAATTGATAATATACAATTCGCGTCTCGATTTGTATATTTTACAAGCCCTACGCCTAACGATTGTGTTTAAAACGTTTTGCGTGAAAGCGTAAATGATTTTCCTAAGTTTCATATAGTATAACAAAATTATTCCATAGTATACATGTGAACTATATATAAGCACAGTAGACGAGACAAATAAACAGTACAAAATACAATTGTGACTGCGGCAAATTATATTTGACAAAAGACGCTCGCGGACGAACGCCTGCCTTATTTTGTCGCAGTCACACGAAAACATTCAAGACAAACATACAGATGTTACATACACATAGAGAATGAAACGAATACAGACAAAGGATTGAACGAAAAGTGAAAAAGCATCTGGCGTCAATCGCGTGTCTGTTGTGGGACACGCGAAGGTCACCGGCATCACACTCATATGCAGGAGTCGCAACAAAAGGGAAGAGGTGAACAGATACTGAACACTGAGGGGCGAGGGCGGGCTGACTGACACTTACCCTGGTGTAAAGGAATTCCAGAACTCGCTAGGAGTGGCGGACACACGGCGGCACAGGGACACAGAAAGACAGGACAGATTACTACACAGATACCTACATCCCTCAGTGCAACCCCACCCCGGTTTTGCAACCGCTCCGGCCGATTGCACTTGTCTATACTGGTTACCTTGCGTTTTAACACTGCTTTTACGATTAAAAAGTCTCGTTTATCAATTGATTTACTTACAGACGAAGCCCGTTTGCATTAGAACAGTACCACCACTATCGTATTGAGTAATAGGTGATAGACAAGAAATTGTTTGACTACATTTGAAAAACATTTGTGAAAAGGTTGGACCAAAGATTATTACATAGAGAGAAATCATGTGAATGCATGGAGGCACCCCGTCGTGTGTAACGTTTTCAAGATGGAACAAATGCCAGAACGCAATATAACCACTCTAGACTTTGAACTTAAATAAAATAGTGAAGCGGCTCGTGTTTTAATGCAAACAAACTTTTAGAGGCGCTTTTGCATATTAAGCGAGGTGGGTTGTCTACTTTTATTATTCAGTTTTGCTTTGTCTCATTTAATTTAGAGATCGTTCGAAGTTTTATCAACGCACACGGTATAAAGTAGGGCAAATTAAAACTTTAATAATTTTGTTTGCAAACTTAGATCATGAAACTTGTATTTAAAAGCTAATTTCGAATATGATTGAATAATAAGTACAAAGCAATAAAACAGTCCGTTACGAATTACTTTCATGATTCAAGTTTCGTCAGTTTAACCTTATTGAAATAAACTTATTTGTTTTCGTAAAGACAAACAAAACTGTTCGAAAGCTTTTGAGCGCTTAATTTATTTCTAATTTCACTTTGTTATTTATTAGACGTTTTTGTATTATTTAGACAAACAGGTAGGGTTAGACACACACAAGGGATGAACATTAGACAATACACAACACATCGGATCTGGTGTGAAAATAAAAATTAAATCTCAAACTCATGGTGTAAATCAAAATTAAATATAAAAACAGAACCATGCTAGGATCGCTACGATAAATTAATAAATTTTTACACGCGAGAAAACAGAGGAAAATCAAAACACTTCCACCAGATGAGAAAATAAATTGTAATTTATAAAAGTATTGTTACCAATTAAATTAAAATAACCACACCAAATCCTCGGAGAGGTTTAGGAAGATGAGCGGGAAAATATATGGTGAAGGTGCTAGTTCCTAGTACATTTTATGTCGTAATGAATTTGTATCTTCTTCTGACGGAATAACATTACAGTACGGCGATGATATCACGGATCTAAAATCATTGTAAAGTGCAAATATATTAAATTCATGAATTGTGCAAACCGACAGGTCAATCCTAAACCAACTAGTTGTAAAAGATATCGTTATATCAGGTTTGTATAATTTATTCATACAATAGTTAATTATAGCTGGACCATCTCTAACGACATCTTTTACGTACATGAAGTGATTTGGTGTTTGTTAATATTTAGTAATTTTTCTTAACTTTATAAACTCACCTTTCCGAATATTCGTCCATGTGTGCGTAGCTCTGGACAGAGTTTTCTTCTATGAGAAACTTGACACGTTGATAGAAAGACGCGGTGACTGATGGCGGTTGTTTCCTGAGGAGCACTTCTACGGGATCGTTGGAAGCTAGGCACATGATGTGTTCGGCGCACTCTGGTCGACTGCAGCATTCCGAGTCCGAGCAGTCCGTCATGCCATCTTCAAAATGGTAGTACCATTGTCAAGTGACAGCCAATATTTTATTTTAATTTTAAATTTATTTGGTGTTAATTTGCCTATCTCTTCTGGAAATGAAATAACCATCACTTACCTTCATCATTGTCTTCGTTATCGTTGCAGGAGAGTTCGAGAGCGATAGAGCAGTCAGTACCAGCCCAGCCGTCGGCGCAAGAACACCGGTACACTCCGTCTTCCAGTAGACATTGTCCGTTACGAGAACAACCGTTGGGACAACCAGCTGTTTAAATAAATAAGTTATTTAGGTGTACAAAATTATGTCATAATATTGTATCACTGAGCCCTGCTCCACTTTATGTTTTGATGGAATTTAATTATGAGCCTCATGTGACATTTGATTATTCTATTACGTTAAAATACAGTGTATATACAATATGCTTGGCAACGGATCCAAAATAAATGTGATAGAAAAATTATTTATTAGAACAATATTAAACATATATGTATAGTATGTTATAAATTAATACATTTTATTTTAGAAAAACTTACGCAAGGTACAATGTCTGCCATTCCATCCTTGCGTGCATACGCAAGTGCCGTTCTTGCATTGGCCATGATCATGACATCTTATATCACACGGTCGCTGATCACACAAGGAACCTGTCCAGCCATCATCACATCGACATACACCTTCAGCACAAACGCCATGTGGGCCACAGTCCAAGGAACATACCACTAAAAAAAAATATTTCAAAAACTTACATATATGTTACATAGTGTTACCTAACTTATATTGTATGTGTGTACAATAAGTTTACCTTGAGAACAATCATCGCCAGTATAAAGAGGATCGCAAACACATCTACCAGCATCTAGATCATAAACTCCTCTTTGAGAACATGCTGGGAGACACCGTTGGACTCTTGCATCGCGTTCACTACATGAAGCACCACGCCATCCAGCACGACATACACATCTACCCCGTACGCATGAGCCGTGGCCGCCGCATGTTGGATCTAGACAGTCCTCTAAACATATCAAATGAAACAAGTATGAAAGTAATGTAAATAGGTACTTTGTGGATATGAGCTATTCAATATAAATTTGTTTTTAACCTTCATCGCATTTTAATCCTTTCCAGCCCGCTTTACAATGGCAATGTCCTGCAATGCATTGGCCTCTTCCGGAACAGTCGGCCGGTTCGCAATCATGTGCTGGCACATCACATTCCGGGCCTTTCCACCCCTCAGAGCAGTGACACACGCCACCTGCATACGCGCCGTGTCCTGAACAAAGAACTGGGCACACACCTGCGAATCATTGCATATTGTTATTTTTATATGTTCCAACTTCAAAGATACTGCATATAATTATAACATAAAATCAACATACTTTTTGAGCAATCGTGTCCTTCGTATCCATCTACACAATCGCATTTGCCAAGATAGCAAGACCCATGACCCGAACAGTCGTCAGGGCAAGAGTTAGTAACACCTTCGGCCTCGGAAACGATCATTTCAACATTATGTGGCTGTAGCTCGTCGTTGTATACTGATATAAACCACCTGCCCGTGTCAAGATACTGTAATATACTGACATTAACTCGCATATCTGTTGATCTTTTGCTTATCGTGTGGTTCCATCTCTGCAGCGGACTAATCGTGCTCAATAATGCATCCCATTCATTTAAACTACTTTGGAATGGATTATCTTCAAATAGACTTCTTCTTCTTCTTAGTCTATGGTCAACTCTACCGCCTCTAATGAATTCTACAAAATCGTACTGTGTTACACTGGGGGCTACATTTCGTCTACCGTAAACGGCAAAATTAGCTCCCCATGGAACTGTGAAGTTAAGGCTAACATAGGCGGGCTGTTTGTTGCGGAATTCGGAACTCCAAAATTGGTAGGCAGGTATAGTTGCGCTGTGTAATTCGTCGAATTCTCTAACTTCTAACGCTGGTGACCATGGAGGTGGAGCGGCTTGTTGTGCTTGTTGAGGTATAATTATTGACTCTAATGCAGCTTCTACTGTTGTGGACCAACCACCTAAAGATGATGTTGATATAGATTCTGTAACATAACAAGTTCATTTTGTTAGATGTGGTATACGAGTATTTGTATTTACCCGTTTAGGTACATAAAACTTGTTAATGTAACGTACCATCTGAAGGTGATGATGTTGATAAAGCATCCCTAATTCCTTGTGCATGTGTTACTGCTTTTACATCTTGCACCAGGATGCAATTTGAATTGTCTATATTACTTTTAATTGACGATAGCGCTGCAACAAACAAAGTAAATATAGATTTAGTATAGATCAAAAACATGTATCTTATTTCTTACCAAAACTAAATCATGTCTAAAGATTCTAATCTTTTACAGGCGCCCGTCCATCCAATTATATTTGAGTTCTTATCGATGCTTTCGGATCGATAGGGACAGTAGTCGAGAGGTAATTCTATTAGTGTTCACATAGGTGTCATCTTAAATGCACTGTGTTACGAAACGGCGTACAATAAGAAATGTCATTTCAAGTTTAAAAGGTCTATGAATGAAGGGTAGGCAACGTGATGTCCCGTCGAGTTTTAATTAAGCGAAGCACGACTATGCTGCATTTTGTTGCGCTGTGACGAAACGATTGGTTCCGCCGCCGCGAGCCCAGTCGCTAGCGAGCACGTAGGTGGTTTGGTGACACCCAACCATTTCTTGTTCGGGAGAATGCCGTTGTCTCCTCATTATGCGACAGTCGCGGGTGATCGAATCGATCATAAGATGCCGTGCTACGCAATCTAATTGGTTAATTCTCCACGGTTTAAACTAAGAAAGCAGAAATTTTGTTAGCACGAGTTTACCGCTTATTCGGAATGACTATTTATTTTGTCCGAAACTTCTGCAGCATAAAATAAAAGTATTTGCAGTCACTATTTTCAAGATAGTCTTCTTTGCCCGGTCATACGATTACGTTGTGTCTCTGCTATGAATAGAATAAAAAGTGCAAGAGAGCGATCGAACGTTACTGGTAATGTAAAGAGAATTTATTGCATTTATTTATTAGCTCAGAAACGAGCTCACGATCGTGCAGGATTTGTGCTTCAATAGGGACGCAATGTTTATTTGTTTCGGAGCATGTACAGGATGTGCGCCTAATATGTTGTGCGTTGCGTCAAGGGCAATATATCAATCTTTACAGACTTAATTGATGCAACCCAGATTTTGTGCCGCCCAATTAATATATTAAACAATTTGTCGAAAGACATGCAGTAATTTATACATTTTGTTTATGTATTAAACTTTACGATTCCATGGAATTCGTGATCCAATCCAGAGAGACTCTGCGATATTCTATTATTTGTGCACTACCGATAGTGCCATAGCAATTAAGTTATCTACCGGAGTCCCTACAGTCCTCTATCAATCTTTAAGATTAACTCTAAGATAAGATTGGAAACGTTAACGTCATCTGGCCGTTTGCGTTTAGGATTGGACAATTTAACTTTAGTATTATATGGCGAGGGTAGATAGTTCAATGACAATAACCTTTATCGGCTTAACAGTCAATAGTTAAGCAGGCAATTTATATTCAGTGTTAATGCTACATGCGTATTTGCAGCCAGCTTTTAAATCATACTTTTAAACTAAGATGAATAGTGTCCAAAGACAAGACACGGGACAACAAAGATGTATATAAGAAAAAGTATTGTCGGCCAACGAAGTCAGTTATTAGTCTGGTTAGTATGATAGCATGGTATCTGTGATTTTAATAAACTATTAACAGAGAAATTTAAACGAAATAACGCAAAATTATGGAAGTAACACTTCTGCGTTATTAGCTTATTTTTTCTAATCACAGATCATTTAAATTACAGACACTACTACTACTACTGACCAAGTGTTTCGTTTGTGGTGTGTAGATTCATTTAACTTTAACAAGTATTAATGAGAACAGTAATAAAATGTACACACATTTCAATGTAAATAGTAATAGTCGTAAAAATCAATCACCGATGTTTGACACGATTTCTTTTAAAGTACCTTAACATACGATACATGATAAAAACATGAATCAACATACTCGACGCATTTGACCCCCAAAATATACTGCCACAGTAATATTTTCCGTCGATCGCATACATGTTAACAGATAAACGACGACGTAGATGACGTAATTTCCCCAAAAGAAAATAAAATATGACCATGCGGTAAGTCGCGACTTTTCCCGATGATCCCTCGTAAAATCTATAAATTTTGTGTATAGAATGACGGCGGGTAGGAAATGGAGGGTGCTCGAGTTGACGAGGTTGGCGGCCGAGATGCATACGACGATTGTGTGCAGATGGACTATGTTTGCTATCTCTACTATTTTTCGAGTTAATACAATTTATTGTAATACGATTCAGCATAGATTGCATCGTACGTTGGGGGAGCAGAAACTCGTTTGATGGAGTCCCGGGGGACGAACGCGCCGTCGCACAGACTCGTATTAGTCACGTGATAAATCTTCTTGTACTCGTGTGCCCTGTCTCCTTTCATTACACGCAATACCTAATAGCATCGTCCTTATTTCTTGCGCACATTAACTACGTTCTCACAAGGTCGCGGTTTGTTGCCCTATTTTACTCGGAGAACATAAACTAATTCGAATTTTGATAATACGATAATAAAAACCTATCTTTGAATTCCCCATTATTCAAAATTAAAATGTATGGATTTAGAACGGAAGTTTAGTTACTTTATAAAATTTCCACATAATACTGATGTTTCAAAACATCTAGCAAAAAACATTAATTTGTTCCTAGAATTGACTTTGATTGAACCCACTATAATGATGAAAAAATTATGAAAAATTCAGATGTATTTTCTTTTTGCGATTCGGTACTTTACTTTCTAGTTTATTTTATCCGATATTTGGTTATAAAAACGTAGTTTACATTTACCAGTGAATGTTTACATTACTAACAAGGTGTACTACATTAAAAATATGGTGTTATAATACCGTGTTTGTTATTATTTATAACAAAAGAGTTATCGATCGCAAATACAACGTACGCGTGAGCCACTCAAAAATCGTTAATATCGTCAGCCTAGCGAGTTTTAATAAAACATTTGGGGTCTTCACAATTTCAATTACATTAAAAAGTTGACGGAGTTGTATTTGGCCCATTCATCGTACACCATACAGTAAATGAAGGGTGCAACAGATGGTTCACATTTTTTCATTACAACGCTAGAGCTACCGGCACAAACCAAGAGATTTATGTCGGATTAAACTACAGAACTAGTTTTTATTTGATACAAATCCGAAACGCCAGGAGGCGTGTACGGAACAACATATTTTATTGTGTTTTTGAATTGCGATCAAAAACTTAATGAAATTTAGGCAAACATCTGGTAGTTAAATGAAATGAAACAAAACCATTGATTTTATCTTCGAGAAATCTAAATGTGGTCATTTCTAAGCGTGAGTGTCACTGTATTCGAGTATAGAAGGTATCGTTTTGACGCGGACTGGTCGCCTTAACTGTCGATATGTTACAAGGGGCTCTTATCTACTGGCGGTATAATTTAACGGGATTCTAAATGAAGTGAGATCCGATACGATAAGCCTCTATGACTTGAGACACCTTCCACCGCCACCGCTGGTTAATTACATTACTTTCAAGAAGCAATGTATAAATAAATACATGTACTCTGCTATGCTTTTAAGAGAGTAGCTTAAGAAACTTTAGTACCTTAAAAAGTGTTACTAGTTTCAAATATGAAGAAAACTGTCTCAAGAATGTCTCATTTTGTGAAAAATTGACAGATCCTGATTTCTTGTCCCGGGTGAAGTAATTTTTGAATGGTCTTTCAATGCGCCATTTAGATGACAACAATGTGAGAAGAGTGACAATTTGTATTATGTAACTTTGTTCAATGTTCTAGGACAAGGACGCAAGTCGCGTTGCCTAAACTAAGTTAAGTAGTTAGAGCTAGTAGCGTGCTTGAAACGTATTATTTAGTGTTTGCTAAAACCATTTAACAGAACGCTCGCCTAAGTTTAATTGAAACTATAGTTTAAAACTTTAGTCAGTCTCCAACGCTGTATATTCTTTTATGGTTACGTTTGTTATTTTTCCTTATATAAAAGTACTGAATTTCTTAACCTTATATAAAAGTTTCTAATTAGGTAAATATATCACCTGGTGTTTCCATTTTGACCTTGATTACGACCAGTATAACTTAAACTCTCAGTACGAGTAAGTTGGGGAGGGGGTATACAGTGATAATTTAAACCATATATTTCATTATTTGTCTAATGAGCACAATTTTTTAAATTTTATACTACAGTACCAATAACAGTAATAAGATACCGAAAGAATAGGTCTGCAATGATAAACATTGTAGTAAATAATGAACGGTGAAAGCTCCAAGTATTTGGTACCGGTACTTGTCGTACATCATTACCAACAAAGGGGTACGAAATACGATAAACTTTATTCCGTCAGTCACAAATACGAATTTCAAAATACCGAGTTTCATAATTCCGAATGGTTAAAAACTCCGATCTATCATTCATCCGTTCATTCCATTCTCCGATCATTCATTTATAATTTAAAATATATTTTTTCAGAAATTTACTCTGTGATGAGGACAGCGAGACGTAATTTAAAAACAAATAACTCTGTGGTTTTACTCATTTCAGGATTCGTGTTCACCATGGTGAGATAGCTGTAGTTTTTAATATCAGTTACTAGCGGCCGCTCACTGTCGCTGCAGGGGCACTAGGGAACACTTAATAGTGATATCATTTGTACGTTGTTACGGTATACGGTACGGCCGTATCCCTTAAATGGAGATCTGAAAACTCTACTCATTAAAGAAATACAAGTTATCGTTGTTATAGCCGTGTGCCCCCAATTTAACCATAAAAAATCTGTTGTACTAGCCACATCACGTATAAGTAAAAGCATACATTAACAGTTAAAACTTCAAAGCGTTATTTAATTTTAGTGAGCTTTATAAAGCATGCATTAGTACTCGTAGCATTTTGCTTCCTTGTGTAATTTTTAAACAAACATTTGCCTTGGTGGAAATTATAGTCGAGGATTTAGATTGTCATGCCTAAATTTTATTACTATGATTAGTTCAAGTTTAAAAATCCAACAGATTTCTAGCTATGTCGGAAAATGACATGGTCTACATCACTGCTAAGGATAAGAATTTACATTTTTATCGCAAGATCGCCAGTGCATATTAATTTTCCTGTCATTCATTCTCAAATGATTTCAATTAAAACGATAG